AAGCCGAGCGCGTCGAGGCCGAGCGCGTCGAGGCCGAGCGCGTCGAGGCCGAGCGTCTCGAAGCCGCGCGCCTCGAAGCCGCGCGCCTCGAAGCTGAGCGCGTCGAGGCCGCCCGCCTCGAGGCCGCACGCGTCGAGGCCGAGCGCGTCGAGGCCGAGCGCGTCAAGGCCGCACGCCTCGGAGCGCGGAAACGCCTCAAAGCCGCTCGCCTCGAAGCTGCTCGCCTCGAAGCCGCGCGCCTCGAAGCTGAGCGCGTCGAGGCCGCTCGCCTCGAGGCCGCGCGCGTCGAGGCCGTGCGCGTCGAGCTCGCGCGCCTCGAAGCCCAGCGCCTCGAAGCCGAGCGCGTCGAAGCCGCGCGCCTCGAAGCCGAGCGCGTCGAAGCCGAGCGCCTGGAAGCCGCGCGCCTCGAGGCCGAGCGCCTGGAAGCCGCGCGCCTCGAAGCCGAGCGCGTCAAGGCCGAGCGCGTCGAAGCCGCGCGCGTCGAGGCCGACCGCCTCCTCGAAGCCGCGCGCCTCGAATTCGAGCGCGTCGAGGCCGCGCGCTTGGAAGCCGAGCGCGTCGAGACCGCGCGCCTCGAAGCCGAGCGCGTCGAGGCCGCGCGCCTCGAAACCGAGCGCCTCGAGGCCGCGCGCCTCGAAGCCGAGCGTGTCGAGACCGCGCGCCTCGAGGCCGAGCGCGTCGAAGCCGCGCGCCTCGAAGCCGCGCGCCTCGAAGCTGAGCGCCTCGAGGTCGCGCGCCTCGAGGCCGAGCGCCTCGAAGCCAAGGCGGCCGAGGAGGCCGCGGCGTCCGTCGCGAGCCTCGAGCGGCTGCGCGTCGCCGAGGCGGAAGCGGCACAGCTGCCCGCTGCCAAGAGGAGGAGGCTCTTGCTCCGAGCGAAGAGCCAGGAGGCGAGCATCCCGGTCGCGGACGAGATCCGATCGCTGCGAGCGCAGGGCCAGCGCGTCCTGGAAAGCAAGTGGGCCGAACAGCCGGCGGAGCGCGAAGACGCCCGGGCCGCGGCGGAGGCCGCGCGCCTGGAAGCCGAGCGCGTCGAGGCCGCGCGCCTGGAAGCCGAGCGCGTCGAGGCCGCGCGCCTGGAAGCCGAGCGCGTCGAGGCCGCGCGCCTGGAGGCCGAGCGCGTCGAGGCCGCGCGCGTCGAGGCCGAGCGTGTCGAGACCGCGCGCCTCGAAGCCGCGCGCCTCGAAGCCGCGCGCCTCGAAGCCGAGCACCTCGAAGCCGCGCGCCTCGAAGCCGAGGCGGCCGAGGAGGCCGCGGCGGCCGCCGCGAGCCTCGCCGAGGCGGAAGCGCCGCAGCTGCCCGCCGCCAAGCAGAGGAGGCTACTCCTCCGAGCGAAGGGCCAGCGCATCCTGGATCGCAAGTGGGCCGATAGCTAAGACCTACCGGCTGCCTTTTTATTTCAGGGGCGCGGCAGCGTCCCTCGTCGGCGTCTCGAGGGGGGACGCGCGCGCGGCGCGCGCCTCGGCGCGCTCACTGGAGGCGCTCGGCGGCGTAGGTCGCGAGGAGGCTGACGAGGTCCGCGACCTCGGCCCGGACGGGCGGCGACTGGAGGAGGTCCTCGACGGCCTCGGGCGCCGGGGCGCCGGCCGGGAGCTGCGCGAGGAGCGCGTCGACCTTGGCGCCGAGGAGGTCGAGCACCTCGCCGCGGATCTCGCCGACGACGGCCGCGCCGAGCGCGCCCTCGGCGGCGACGGATGCGACGTACGCGTCCGCGGCGACGTCGAGCAGCTCGCCGACGACGGCGTCGTCGTCGTCGTCCTCCGGCGCCGCCGGCGCGTAGGCGGCGAGGGGCGCGGGCTGGGGCGGCGAGTAGGCCAGCTGCGGGTGCGCCGTCGCGACGGGCGCCGGCGCCGCGCCGCCGCCGCCGTCGCCGTCGTCGTCGCCGTAGCGCGCGTCGAGCTCCGCGTCGCCGTCGGCCGCGGCCGGCCCGCGGGGCGGCGCCCCCCCGAAGGGCGGCTCCTCGGGCCGGTCCTGGTGGTAGCCGACGACCGCGAGCGTGAGGAACTGCGAGACCTCGACGCGGCGCGTGTCCGCGGTCGCGCGCTTGAGGCCGACGCAGTGCGCCTCGACGGTCGCGAGGAAGTCGGCGTACATGGCGTCGCCGCCCGTGTCGTCCGGGTCGAAGACGAGCTTGGCGACGGTGACGCACTCGCGGAAGCTCAGCCAGAGCTCCTTGGGCACGCGGTCGCCGCCCGTGAGCGCGTCCGTCGCCCAGCGCGCGCGCAAATTGACGCCGAGCACGCGGCCGACGACGGAGCGCACGTAGAGGAAGAAGAGCACGTCGTCGGCGTCGTAGAGCTCCTGGAGGAAGCGCGCGAAGATCTCGACGTCGCCGAGGTGCTGGCGGTGCGCGTGCGCGGAGCAGAGCAGGTCCCAGCACGTCGCCTCGACGATCTTCTCGAGGCCGTAGCGCTTGGACAGGTGGTCGATGACGAAGACGGGGAAGAGCCGCGTGCCGTCGTCGCCCCCATTTCCCTTGTCGCGCGCGAGCTCCGCCGTGTCGCGCGCGTAGCGCGCGTCGTAGATCTCCTCGATGAGCCTGCGCGGGACGCGAACGTGCGCGACCCGACGTCCCGGTCGATCAAGGGCACGGGAACGCGCCGCATGAGCCAGCTCAGGGGCCGCACGCGCGGCGGCTTGGCGACGGCGGACGTGTCGCCGCGGGCCCGCTGCGACCGCGTCGACGCCAGCACGAGGGACGAGAAGCGCGGGTAGAGGGCGCAGTCGACGCCGCCGACGACGACGTCCTCGACGGACTCGAGCAGGGCCGCGGGCGACCGCTTCGCCTCGCGGACCAGCTTCTTCCGCGCGCTGAAGGTGACGACGCCCTTGCCCGGCCCGGCGGACTTGGCCCTCGTCGGCTCCGCCGCGGCGGGGGCCTGCTTCGCCGGGCCGGCGAGGCCCGGGGCGAGGATGCGCACGTTGGCCACCCATTTGCCGCCGCCGTCCCGGGCGACGGACGTCTCGCGCTTCGCGAGGAGCTCGAGGTAGCGCCGCCGCTCCTCGGCGCCGAGCTCCGAGAGCACGACGGCCGAGCACGGCAGGAACGGGGCCGCGCCGAGGTCGCCGGCGTCCATCTCCATCCCGTTGTCGACGCGCGCGTCCGCGGACTCGGACGCGGCCGGCAGCCCGAGCGCACTGTTACGGCCGATCGCAGCCTCTCGTCGACTCCGCAGGCCGTTAAAGTCAAACGTAGACTGCCTTCGAGACCTTGGGGCAGCCCCCGAGCGCGCGATGTCCTTCTTCTCGGGCGGATTCGCGACCCAGGTGTCGGCCCTGCTCGGCGCGTCGGGCGTCGAGCCCTACCGCGCGCCGCTGCCCGGCGCCGACGTCGCCCTGTCATACGGCGTCGCCCGGTCGCCGACGTCGCGCGAGATCGACGTCGTCTACGACGTCGCCGTCGGCGGCTGCGC